AAGTCTATGGAAATATCCCAAATTCCAAAAACTCCTGAAATGGAAATACTTCTGGTCCTAAGCATTTCAGATAAGGGATATTCAGATAACGCATATTTATAATATTACTGATGGTACAGAGATAATAATAATACCTTATAAACAGGTTACTTTGGCTGAAAAATATTTGATGAGATTGATCTTCCATTTATCCTTTTGCTTGTGATCTTTCACAGATTAAATTTATGTTAATAAAGTATTTTATGATGATGCTACTTTAGAAAATTAACTGCAATATTCCTTTTCAAATCATCTTTATCTACATTTTTAATATTTTTAAATTGTAGATTAATGTAATACCTTTATTTTATTTATGTTATTTTTATGTGATGATAAGGATCAAACCCAGTGCCTCACAAGTGCTGTCCACTGTGCTACATCTCCAGCCAAATTTATTATATTTAATTACATGTAAATATGCTCATATATTAACAGTATAGTAAACTATTTTGAAATGTGGCTGTCTTTGAGTTTGAGAAGGGGCAAAAAAGGAAAATAATTTTGGAGTATTGGTAATGTTTGGAAACTTATTTTTAATTTATTGTATTTCTTTAATTCTTTTCTATTAGTAGATCAATAGAATGGTCTAGTGTATCTTTCATTGTTATTTCTCTCTTCTGTCTATGGGGTTTATCATACAGAAGTATATTATCAGAAATTAATAATTACAAGGAAATGTTTTAATTTAACATCTGTACCAGATGTGACATATTTAAAACAATTGATAAACATTTTTCAGTGGCATATGGTCTGAGTCTGACATGCTTTGAAAAGAGTACAGAGTTCTGATAATGAGGATTCTGTGAAAATGGGAAAACCAGCATAACAGATATGCTTTGAGAAAGTATGGGTTTTTAGCATCTTGAAACAATATATCACACTCAAAGGGACAGAATTGGGCTCCACAATCTGTTAGCTCATTCTTGTCCAATCTGGTCTCCTCCTTTCTTTTGGAGCCAGCGTTGTCATCAGCTCACTGAATTATATTCTGACTGGAATGTATTTCAGGCACAGAGTAATGTGTCTACTTAAATGGAATCCTATCTTTCTATAAAAGTTTTTTGAGTATAATAAATTTAAAATATAAAAAAATTCTATTAAGTTAAAGTAAGTGGTTCAACAGTTTACATATGTGCTTATTCCCTTGTTGCCCTAAAAAAAAGAAAGACCACTACTTTGAGCAACATAGATGTTTTTCTTTTATGTATAATTTTGAGTAAATTTTTATTTAACTATTAGGTGGTTAGACATATTGCAAAGGCTGTTTATTATGAAAATACCTACACATTATAATAAATGTTTAACAGAAATTAACAGGAATAAAAAGTTCTCTATTGAAGTTTTTATTATGATTATTACTAATTCTGTACAGCCCTTCTTAACAAGAATTAAGCCTTAATGCCCTCAGGCATCCATTTTTTGTAATAAATAAACTTGTCTCCTACCCATCTAGTATGGTACTAGCTATTCTTGGAAAAGTTGAGATGGTAACCCAAACATTTTTATAGGCCTTTTTTTTAATATTTGTTTTTCAGTTTTCGGTGGACACAGGTCTTTATTTTTTTTTATTTTTATGTGGTGCTAAGGATCGAACCCAGCGCCCCGCGCATGCCAAGTGAGCGTGGTACTGCTTGAGCCACATACCCAGCCCACTATAGGTCTTAATTTTGTTATTCAATCAGGATTGAGAAAGGCTACTGTATTAATATTCAAAATCACTGAGACTTTTAATGTGAATCATACAGAGTTGTACAAATTAATTAGATGTTATGTTAGAACTATATTACCTTATATAAAGGATTAAATGAGATAATCTTTGTAAAGAGATAAACACAATGCCAGACACATTGTAAGTGCTCATAAATGACATCTATTATCATATTTTAAGCTTTCATTGTCTGAAAATTTTCCTAAAAATTTTTGGTTGTATTATGATGTTTTGATCAAGAAGAAATTTAGTTTGAACTACAGAAATAGTTTTAAGTACAGTAAAATGTGTGATTTGATCCAAGAAATTATATTTTCAAATTTATGTAGGGTGTCTTACTCATTTTATGCTTAATAATTGAGTAACAACAATAAATTTTGTTTTTTTATTCTGATAATTCATAATTTATCCACAGAAACCATCTAATAATAAATGAAGTATTTTTTTGTGATTGTCCTCATGAGCATTTTAAGTCTTTGCCATTCAAATAGACAAATATTTCTTTTTAATGTATTGATTTATGTGAGAGTGGGCGTGGAAAGAATGAGAAATAGCTAGCCTTCCCTGATGCAAAGACAGGATGTTATTAATGCTTCTCCAGACCTCCTGCCATAGGATCCTTTCACTTTTCTTTGAAAAATGATACATTATCTTTTAGGTATGATTGGCATTGCCATGGGGCACTATTAAATACACAAGTTATATGTAGCTACTCGAGTTATAAAGCTGAAAAAAAATTCATGGAAGTAATTTTTAGCACAAGAACATCAGTGAATAATTCCTGACATTGTAAATTGAAAATACTTTATGCAATGAACAAAAAGAAAATGGGTAATAAGCACTTTCTTGAGAATGGCTAACATAATTTACAAAACGAGCACCTTTCTTTATAGTATACACTTGAAGACAGCTTACATATGCTAATTTTAAAGTAAAGTTTATTTATGTTAATATATCTCCATATTCCTGTTTAGAGGTTCATAAAGTAAATAATGTGGAAATATCAGGTGACCACAGTGTATTATGAAATAATAAACTGCTGATACTGCATTTAACTCAGTGAAAGTTGATAAGTAACATAACATTTCTGATGTAGATGTCATTAAAATATCACTTAGTTGGTGCAGTACTTTTTATATACTCATTATTAAGCTAACCTTCCTATTTTATGGATTATTGGTGTAAAACAGCTTGTTTATACACAAATATGCTTTTTAAGTTTCTTTTTGATTATTGAAAATAAAATAAGGACAAAAACAGTTGAAGTAAAGAACTATATAGCCAATGTTTCTAGTATAATTGATTAATCATTAGGAAAAAAATGCCTGGTTTTTCACTATAATTTCTATATGGCAATTTGATCTTATGCATTTTTACCAAAATGAAATAGCCAATTGAAGTTTTTCTAATTGAAGATTTTGAACTACTTAATGATTTATGCATAGCCAGAAAATTAAATGAGAGGAGGAGGTCAATAGAAGAGGAAATAGAAATGAGATCTGAATGTTAGTTTTTCATACTTCTATTTCACGTGTATAAAAACTATCCATGCACTTATTTCCATGTTCTTCTCTACTATTGAATACTGTTGCGATGTGATGATAAATCTGTAGAAATAACTGAAATTTCTCCTTCTTTTAAATTCTCGTATTTTTTCAGATTACTTGTTCTCTGCATTACTCCCCTCATGGAGTTGCCCAGAAAGAACTTCCTGTGTTGCACCTTAGGTCATTCTCTGCTTTAAGGACAAGTTGAGATCTGTCATTAAACAAATCTACTTAGTTCTTTACAAGGAATAAGTTTTATAAAATAATAAGAAGCAAAAGAAGATGATGATGATTAGCGTCTTGTTGCCAGTCATTCCACTTGTATTTGCATTGAGTATTTTCCATGTATAATGAAAAGTGATAGAATATTCAAAGGTATTTATAGAATATGAGTTTCAAAAACCATTTAGACATATTACAATTTAGTGAGCTAAATTGAGGCTGGAAATAAAATCTGTCTAAAAATATTTTTAAAAAGTAGAATATGAAAAAAATTTCAATATAGTAAAGTTACTATTTATAATAGATAAGGAATTATATAACCAATGTTTCTAGTATAATTGATTAATTATCAGGAAAAATAAACTGGTTTTTCACTATAATTTCTATATAAAAAGAAGTTACAAGTAATTATTTAAACTTAAAAATTAAATTATAACAAGTTGAACAACTAACAGATGAATATTATTGTATGTTTTTGAGGAAAACTTTTCTAAGCAATAAGATATAAGGGAATAATTTAAAACTTCATGTCCATAAAGTTAAAAATACATGTAAGTAAAATGAAGTATGGAAAGAGCTGGATAAAGATATTTATATAATGGAGACAGAATGCACGTACACTATCAAAAGTAATAAGAAATAAGCTATTATATCCACTTAATATGAAAAAGTCATTTACAAAAGAAAAAATCTGTGAATATGAAAAGTGTTTAACTACACTATTGATCAAACAAATACAGAGTAAGCAAAAATATCCCAGTTTAATATCTACTGATATTTAGAGTTTTTAAGAGTAAAGTAACATGGAGATACTGATATGTTTATATGCTTCTCTATAAAATCAATTTTGAATAATCATGAATGTCCTTAAAACATATTCATATTCATACCTATTACAGAATATTTATATTGGGCTAAGAGGATCTGTTAATACACAGCCTTGAGGAAAATTAAATGCATATGTAAGACTGCTATTATTATTTCTAATATACAGATAAAGATACTAAGGCTCAGAGAGGCCATGTGACTTGTTCAAGCTCACAAAGTTTACTAAGAAAACAAAAGTTGGAAAAATTTATGTACATCTAGGGGGATATGACTGATTCTTTTGTCATTTTTATATATATTTTCTAAATTTCTGACACTAAGCCAAAAGGAGGACTAGGACTTTTATATAACAAGAGATGAACGGAGACACAAATATTATAGGCAATATCGTATCATTTGTAATAGTTTTTAATCATTAAGAGGATAATCCCATTTGTCTACAGATTTTTTCCTTGTTTCATAAAAATAAGATAACATTATCTGCATTTAATTTAGAACATATATTCTTACCAACTATTCTTTTTAATGAACTTTAATCAAAGCTGTAAACGTAATCTTCATTTTATGCCCATACAATGTCATAAAAAAATCAAATCTTAAAATGAAAAATTTTAAGTTAATACACCTACATCTTGTTATTTTATTTTCATTTTCAGATGGAAAACATAATTGGAACAGTACGAGATTCCAACCTGAAGTTGACACTTGCTTTTGGAATAGGAATGCATCATGCTGGCCTCCATGAAAGGGACCGAAAAACAGTAGAGGAACTATTTGTGAACTGTAAAGTTCAGGTACTTTTTTTCTCCAATGAGTACGTATTTAAAAGTAACCTAAAAGTTATATGTTACTTAGATATAATATTATCTTTTATTTTTAGGTTCTTATTGCTACAAGCACGTTAGCCTGGGGTGTAAACTTTCCAGCTCATTTAGTAATTATTAAAGGAACAGAATATTATGATGGAAAAACAAGACGTTATGTAGATTTTCCCATTACAGGTAATTTTTTTCAATTTACAGAGATACATTAAGTTTCCTGTTCAGCTTTAACAACTTAAATTTTCATGAGTTAATATTTGTACCTCCTATTTTAGCCTTCACAATTTAAATGGACTCAAGCATGCTAGACAAGTGCTTTATCACTGAAAAATACCCCATTCCTTTTTGTTTTATTTTACAACAGGATATCACTCAGTTGCCCATCCTGGCCTCAAACTTGTGACCCTCTTGCCTCAACGTCTCAAATAGCTGGGATTATTAATTGATTTTATTGAGAATTGGTCACATTTAAACATACAGTAAGCAAATTTGTAATAATAATAGAATGCAAAACACTGAGCTCTTTTATTTACTTTAACTTACCCAATTTGTTAATAAGCACTAAAAATATAACTGATTCTTCCAAATTCATAAAGTACTATGAGAAATTATTAGTGATAAAAATTTTTTTGATTAAGCATTTAGTGTTTAATTTTAAATGCATTTCACCAGAAATGATAACTTCCGTGGGACTTCCAGAACCAAAGCACTTATTGCTATAATGAATGCATGAGCAGTCTATTAAGATATTTTAAATTTTAATAAAGTCATTTTCAGTTGGTTTTGAAGAGGGATATATATTCAATATACATTTCTACCCAATGAATACATGTAAAACTCTATCATTTTTAAGCCATTGTTTATGTCAGATTCCTGCAGTATAAAAGAATTTTTATCCCATGGACAGGAAAAAGACAAGGCCTAAATAAATACATTATTCATTGTAGAAAATAATAAAAGGGCTTCACTGAAGAGATTTTTCTATATAAGTTTTATGTTTTTCTGTTTAATTAAAATAGTAACATTTCTTACCCAACGTCTTTAATCATTTAACTAAAGGAGACTTTCATCTTTTAATAGTGCCAAATACCTTTTGGGGAACTCAATATTACAACATAGTAACTTTCTAATTTGTCCTAAATTTTCTGAGTAAATTATATTAACTTAGCAAACTTAATAATAGCCATCACAAATAGAATATGTGCTCTTAAAATATTGTTTCCTTTGTTATTTTGTTGTAGAAGCATGCCCTCATCATTAATTCATATCTTCTACCACGTGCCACTTTGTAGAATATCTCTTGTTTTACAGATGTGCTCCAGATGATGGGAAGGGCTGGGCGCCCTCAGTTTGATGACCAAGGCAAAGCTGTAATTCTGGTTCATGATATTAAAAAAGACTTTTACAAAAAATTTCTGTATGAACCTTTCCCAGTAGAATCAAGGTAAATTTTGCTTTAAATTAATTTAAATGGATTTATTTTGTAGAAAGTTTTAGTGTTTTTCTGATTACATTTTACTACTTAAAAATGAGTAAAACTTGTAGTATAAAAGAATTACTAACTGTGAAACATTGTAATTATCCCAATAATACTTAATGATAATTTTTATTTTTAAAAAATAACATTTTAAGGGGCTGGGAAATGGCTCAGTTGGTAGAGTGCTTGCCTAACATTCACAAGGCTCTAGGTTCAATCCCGAGCACCACCAAAAAGAAAAGAAAAGAAATCTTAAAAATAAATAAATAACATTTTAAGAGAACAAATACAGTACCATGTGCAGCCAAATTGGCTCTGGAGTCAGATTACCTGGATTGAAATCTGAGCTGGGCCACCTGTTTGCTCAATATTGAGCAAGTTATTTAATTTCTCAGTGCCATGGGCTGCCTATCTGTAAATGAAAATTATAACCATACCAATTATCTCACAGTGTATTTGTAATGTTTAAATGAATACTGCTTGAATCATTGTCTATTATATAGTAAGCATTTTGTAAAGTATTAGTTTGATGAGAGTTTTAAAAATAGAGTTAATATCTAAAATAAGGGGTATGTAATTAATAATTTAGGTTGCTAATTTATTTCAGAATTATCCCATACTTCTTTATGGGCCCAATAACTACTACTCCTGCTGCAAAATCTTCCCTCATTTTCATGGTTGAAAATAACCCTTTCTTCCTCAGATTTATATTTTCTCATATACAACACTTTTCACATTCTACCTTTTATCATAGTGCTTTTCTATATACTCTCCTTTACTTTAGTAGTCTAACTGCATTGAGGACAAACATGTTTTTCATTTATATTGTAAGTTGTTGAGTTTTTTAATCCTAAATGCAAATAATGTTTGTTTTTTTAATTTGAAAAATAAGCATTAAATGTTGTGGAATACAGCTAAAACTATGCTAAGAGAAAAATTATGACCAAAAATTTATATGTTAAAAAAGAAAAAATGAAAAATTAGTTATCAAGATTCTGTCTCAAGAATTTGAACATCAGCAAATTGAACTCAAAGCAAGACAACATAAAGACAAGAGCCCAGTGTGGTGGCTCATGCCTATAATCCTAGTGGCTCAAGAGTGAGGAAAGAAAATCGCATGTTTAAAGCCAGACTCAGCAACATAGCAAGCTCCTGTTTCTAAATTAAAAATAAATAAATAAATAAAATAAAGGGATGGGGAATATGGCTCAGTTGTTAAGCACCTCTAGACCTCTAGGTTCAATCCCTAGTATAAAATAAGTAAATAAGAGCAAGAATTAATAGATTAACAATAAACATGGATCAGAGAAAAGTAAAAAGTGCCAGAAATTGGTTCTTTGCAAAAGATGACTTAAGACTGATAATTGAATCTCAATATTAGGAATTAAATGATACTATAGATAGTAAAAGGTAATAAGATAATATGAACCACTTTATATAATAATTTTTAAATTTTGGATCAAATGGTAAAATTTCTCTTTAATCATTCATTAAAACTGACCCAATAATAAAAATCTCAAATTACCTATCAAAGCAATTGAGTCTTAAATCTAAGATCTTTTTACAAAGAAATCTTCTGACCCAGATGCTTAAGTAAATTGTTCATAGCATTTAAGGAAGAAATAGCATCAGGTTTAAATGAAACTCTTCCTCCTAGAAAACATAGGCATATTTGCCAGCTTTTTTTAATCAGACCAGAATAGTTTGAATGACAAAACCTAATAAGAAATTTATAAAATAGGAATGTAACAAACTGTATCTCTCATGAATACAGATGTAGAAATTCTAAACAAAATTTTAGTAAATCACCCTAAGATGTATGAAGACACGAATGGTGTGACTCTACTTCATGTATAACCAGAAACATGAAAAATTGTGCTCTATGTGTGTTCTTTGAATTGAAATGCATTCTGACATCATATATAATGAATTAGAATAAATAAATAAATTTTAAAAACATATAAATGCATCAAAATTATGTTTAAAAAGTCATGATACACTTTTGTATCTCCAAAAAAAAAAAAAAAAAAAAAAACAAAAACAGCAAAATATAAAAAAAAAAAAAAGACAAAAAAATTTTGTTTAAAAAATATAAAAATATTTTTTTATCTAAAAAAAAAAAAAAAAAAAGTAAATCAAAACCAGCAATACATAAAAATACATTACAGCCAAATATGGTTTGTTTCTTAAATATGAAGATTATTTGTTATCTGAAAATAGATGAGTATAATTAACATTAACAGAAAAAAAAAATGAGAAAAACCTCATGATTATCTCATCAATGTTTTAAAAAAAAAGCATTTGACAAAATTCCATACCGATTCATAATAAAAAAAAACAACAACATTGCAAGCAGGCATATAAATGAATCTCCTTAATCTTATGGGGTATCTACAAAAAATCCACTGTAAGCATAATAATTAATGAAGAAATCAAAAGTTTTCCCTTTTGAGAAAACTGTATATCCTTATGTAGAAGAATGATATTAGATCCCTATCTCTTACATTGTACAAAAGTCAACCCGAACTAAATCCAAGACTTAGGAATTAGACAAGAAACTTTGCAAGTGCTAGAAGAAAACGATAGGTCAACATGTCAACATTGGCATAGGCACCAACTTCCTTAACAAAGACTCCTTAAGCCCAAGAAATAAAATGAATCATTAAGTGGGACAGCATCGAATTAAAAAGCTTTTATATAGCAAAGGAAATTGTTTGAGAGTATGAAGAAAGGGGCCTACAGAATGGGAGAAAACCTTTGCCAGCTATTCCTCTGATGGAGGATTAATATCCAGAATATATAAATAACTCAAAAATATTAACACCAAAAAATAAATAAGTAAACCAATTAATAAATTGGGAAAAAAACTAAACAGACTTTTCTCAAAAGCAGAAATACAAATGGCCAACAAATATATGAAAAAAATGATCAATATCCCTGACAACCAGGGAAATGCAAATCAAAACTACATTGAGATTCCATCTGACTCCAGTTAGAATGGCAGTCATCAAGAATAAAAATATGAATAATAATAATAATAATAATAAATATAAATAATAATAAATGCTTGCTAGAATGTTGTGGGGGGTACACTCATACATTATGGTAGGTTTGCAAATTAGATCAACCACTTTGGAAAACAGTATGGAGATTCCTCCAAAGAATAGAAATAGAACCACCATATGCCCCAGCTATCCCAGTCCTCAGTATTTATCCAAAAGAACTAAAATCAATACACTGTACTGACACAGTCGCATCCATGTTTATAGCGGCACAATTCACAATAACCTAATTATAGAACCAACCCAGGTGCCTATCAGCAGATGAATAGGTAAAGAAAATGTGGTATTTGTACATAGTAGAGTTTTACTCAGTCATGAAGCAGAATGAAATTATGACATTTGCTAGTAAATGGATGGAATTGAAGAACATGCTAAGTGAAATAAACCAGACTCAGAAAGTGAAGGGTCAAATGTTTTCTCTCATATGTAGAAACTAGACTAAAATAAGGGAAAAGGGGGAAGGGTGGAAACCCCATGAAAATAGAGGAGAGATCAGTGTAAATAGAAAAATGGGATTAAGCAGTAGGATGAGGGACAGGAAATGGAAGGAACTGCAGGATGAAATTGACCAAATTATGCTGTGTACATATATGAATATAGCACAGTGAATTTCACCTTTATGTTTATCTATAAGGCACAAATTAAAACAATAAATAAATAGAAGGAAGACCAATATAGTAGAGGAAGGAAAATAGGGAAGGGAAGAGGGGAGGAAAAGAGGACGCACTGGAGCAAGAGTGAAACAAATTAAATTCCATGCATGTATGATTATGTCAAAATGAACCCAACAATTATGTTTAATGCACTAATAAAAACAGTTTTTTAAGTTTTCCCTTTGAAATAGGGAATGATAAAGAGGAGTGTTGTAGCCAGGTACAGGTCGCACGCCTGTAATTCCACTGGCTCTGGAGGCTGAGAGAGGAGGATTGCAAGTTCAAACCCAGTCTCAGCAAAAAGTAAGGCACTAAGCAACTCAGTGAGACCTTGTCTCTGAATTAAAAAATACAAAATAGGGCTGGGCATGTGGCTCAGTGGTCGAATGCTCTTGAGTTCAATCCTTGGTGCCCCAACCCCCCCCCCAAAAAAAGGAAGTTGCTTATATCACTTTTTGGTAAACATTGTTATAGAGTCACATGCCACTATAATAGGATAAGAAAAACAAAAGTTAGAATATCCCTTTGAGCAAGGTAGTAAAAGCAATGCTTGATCTTGGTGTTGGTTATACATGTTCACATTGTGAGAATTAATTGATTTAAAGACATATAATTTGTGTAGTTTCTCTGTGTATACTTCACTATAAATCTAACTACATTTTTTAATTTCATACCTTGATATGGCCCTTAATATTTTATCCATTGTAGAATATTCCATAGTTTATTTATTCATTTCTCTATTAATGTGTATTTAGAAAGTTTCCAACTTTTTCCTCTTGTGTGTAATGTTGGAGTAAATCATTTTACTTTTCTGACCTCACAGGTTAATGTTTCTTTATCGGGTCTTCATGAAAAAGTGGAATTGGCTGGATCATAGTGATTATTCCAATAGATATTGCCAAATTGCTCTCCAAAATAACTGTACCCATCTCTATTCAACTACTGGTGAATTGAGAATAATGGCCACTTTTTTATTAATGTATATTAATTAGTGATTTTTTACATTCATTTTTTTCTGATCATTTTCTCATTTCGTTGCCAAAGTTATTTTTATTATCCCATGAATCATAATTTATTTAGTGTTTTATTTTCTTAGGCATTGCTTACTTCTATTTGGTTTTTGTTGTTGTTGTTGTTTGGTGGTGGTGGTTTTGTTTTGTTTTGTTTTGTTTTGGTGTGTGTGTGTGTGTGTTCAATGCATTGAACCTGGGGGATATACCACGGACTTACATTCCCATCCTTTTTTTTTTTTTTTTTTTAATTTTCAGACAAGGTTTTGCTATGTTGCCCAGGCTGGTCTCAAACTTGTGATCCTCCTACCTCAGTCTCCTGAGTCACTGAGATTATGTGGGTGTAGCACCATTCTTAACCTTTTGTGTGTTGTATATAAGAAAATAAAATGAACTTTTTTGCAAGTGTTTCACCACATCTGAAAATCTTCGTATATTCCACAATACCTAATATAATAATGTCTTCTTATATATCCAGGCACTTAATGTTCACCAAATAAATTTTTTAAAAAATCTTTGCTCACGCCTCTCTCCTATCATCCCTTTCTTGCCAACGCTCCTTTAATCTGTCCCAGTATTTATTCCATACCCTCTCGAGTACTTTATAAGTATGCTTTTTCCCGTTGTCTGGTCTTACCCTCTCTCTTGACTCTTCTTCTGAAAGTTACTAGTTTACTTCCTGTCAGCCTATGTTTATTTTCCATCTAGTAATTTATTTCCCTAGAATGACTTGTAGCAGTAAGTGCCTCCTATTGCATACCTACAATATGACTACTAGTAATGGCTTTCAACAAGTTATTATTACTTAGTTTATTCTAGGAAAATATCATATTATTGTAGTATTTTTGTGAGACTCTGTCTCTCTGGCCCACTTCTTATTCACATTCAAATAAAAAATAACATACTTTTTGAAAAGAAAACAAGCATAAATTTTTATGTGCTAGTTAATAATACAAGTTCCTAAGCTCATAATACTAAGTGATTTTTGTGGTGAAAGGACATTGTAAATGTCCCCCAAAACCCCACAAAATAATTTGGAAAGAATTACTCACAAATTATACAATACACAAAATATATAAATTACACAAAACACATTTGTATCTTAGAATGTAAAATCTGAATCTAGACTATTTGAGATAAATTAAGTGTACTTTGTTTAATGGTCATACTTATTTTCCATGCCTTATCCACTATGCAGCTTATTAGGAGTGCTATCTGACCATTTAAATGCAGAGATCGCTGGTGGTACAATAACATCTAAGCAAGATGCAATGGACTATATCACCTGGACTTACTTTTTCCGACGTCTTATCATGAACCCCAGGTAAGTGCAGGGCTTTTTTGAAAAGAAATTATCTTTTTGTTTTACACTGGAACAAGATGTATTTGAAATTAATAAACTCTAAAATTGAATACATACAAAAAAAGTTAGAACTTTGGACTTTGTAGGTCTATGGATTTGTCCAAAAAAGTCAGATTTGTCCAAAAATTCTGATGTAATCGCATTGTATTATATCAAAAATCAATTGGTTATGTGTTTTTGATAACTTCACTTATTTTAATTATCTTAAAGATATTTTGAAGAGTTTGCTGTTTAGTTGGGAGTCAATACATCTGAAGCCCTTTGGAAATGTGTGAAACTATGGTAGTGAAAAAATTAGGGATGGGGTTGTGGCTCAGTGATAGAGCACTTACCTTGCATGTGTGAGGCATTGGGTTCAATCCCCAGCACCCACATAAAACAACTAAACAAAATAAAGGTATTGTGTTCATCTACAACTAAAAATATTTTTAAAAATTTAAATTGGGGAGTGGTAGATAATTTTTATTCTTGACAGTATGTTATATCTTCATTTAGCCCCTGCTATTATCTAATATCATGCTAAACGCTTAGATGTAAAGATAAGTATAACATCCCCTATCTTCAAGTACTGATGGTATAGTATGAAAAAACACATGTATGGAACAGGAGTAGTAATAGGTAGAAAGCATTCAGACAGAAAAATACTGTCAGAGCAAAAAAGTCTCAGGGATTGAGTCAAGTATTTAGAAAATATGAAAAAGATTGATGTACCTTAAGGAATATAGAGATTGTCTTGACAAGAAAGTGTGCGAAGACCAGAGGGTAAAGGATCTGTTGACTGTATATATCTGATCCTATTGGAATCCTAATGGAATGACCCATTGGAAGTTCTTAAACATGGATTGATGTCACCAATTTAGTTTTTATTTCAATACCTATGATACTATAATAGGGAATCCAATGGAATGGGGAGAAAATATACCAGTTAGGAAGTTATTTAATGATAAGATGAGAACTTTAACATGCAGAGGCAGTGAAGTAAAGGTGGAATTTGAGGGATGTGCTGAAGTAAGAAAAAGAAAATTAAAAAAACATTACAAGGCCTTCAATAGAGAGACCCTAAGATATGATGCTCCACTCTGCTTTTGATGAAGTTACAGTTTATTTTTTCACCATCCTTTTGACTACTGCCATATGAACTTCCCACCGTCATTTCAAATGTACCATGTATAAAACTGACTTAATGATAAAATCATCAAAATCCTCCACTAATCCAACTTTATTACTTTTGATAATATTATCACTGTATCTGTTTGCCCTAACTTCACACTCCAGACTTGCATTTTAATTTTCACTCTCCCTTGCAGTTCTCCAACTGCTTAACCTGCTTTTAGTCTATCCCTAATCTAGTCTCATTTGTAAACCATTAAATAGTATTGATCAGAAATTAAATGAATTATACAAGAGTTGGAAGCCAGATGAGGTTAGTTTTCTTTAAAATTAGATAATAAGAAGGAAATTGCCCAGTGTTTACATTTTTTTCAACCATGAGAGTGAAATGAGTCAAGAGCACAGTTGGAAACACCATTCAGAATAGGGGTCCCACAGAGAAGGAACTGGAGTAGGCATCACTCCTGTTGCTCTAGTTAGAAACTGTCTTCTATGTAATAATACTTTGGGTAATAAACAGTAGTAATTAAGAGCAGAACAACGAGCTCAGGGAAGAGACTTATCACAGTAGACAAAGGATGAAATTTTGAGAGGAAATTATACTAAGCCTCTGTTCCAGGGAATTTCTTGAGTTTTGGCATTTGTATGTCTCCTGCTTACTCATGTTTGTAATCAGTGTAGTCCATGTAAATAAACAAATATTCCTTGGTTCACATTGCCTCCCCTACTTGATATCTGATAGACATCTAAGGAAATTTGGTATTGACAGTATGTTATATCTTCATTTAGTAATGACTTTGCTTAGAGTACTTAGTACATGCGGCAACTGCTTTTCCTGTCCTCCTACTGCCCATAGGAGGATCAGATGTCCTACCACCGCCACCAAAGGGTTACAATCAATTGAGGGAGACATTAACTCACATACTTCTAAGTAAGAGGTTTCTCTCACTGGTGCTCTTGTGATCACTCTTCTTCGTGCCTACAGTATCTAACCCATCTAGCCCTGGCAGTCTTAAAAGTCCAGTCATACATTGATAAATGCAGCTTGAATTGATTTCCAGGAGGTGAAAGTTTATCTACTCTTGATAATCCATATCATATATATTGGTTCCCTTTAGTAGCTGCCTATGCATATTTTGAGATACCCCTAAAAAAGAATATGCAGTACTCATGTAAATCTTATTTATAAAAAATTACTATAAAAAAAGACCACACAAAGCATCTCAACTTATTTCAAAGTTTAGAGATCAATGCATTCTCAGTACAAAATGTAACAAAATTGAATATCCCCTATGCTAAATGCTTAGGAACAGAAATATTTGGATTTCAGATTTTGGGAGGTTTCGGAATATCTATTTACATATACATAAATGAGATATCTTGGGAATGTGATTCGAGTCTAAACACAAATTCATTTATGTGTCTTAAGCTTTATATACATGCTGAAGGTAAGGTTATTCAGTATGTTTAGTATGCCTGCATTTTGACTGTTACCTTATCACATAAGATGAGGTGTGGAATTTTCCTCTTGTGACTTTGTATCATTGGTCAAAATATTTTATATTTTGAAGCATTGCAGATTAGGTTTGTTCAATCTGTAAAACCAGAAATAGACAATAAAAAGAATGATAAACAAATTCTAACTATTTGAGATTTTAAAATATTTATTCCAGTGAAAGTTAAAATCAAATAAAAGACTAGAGCTATTAAAAAATATATATATAAGTGTTCCATAGCAAACAAAGCTCCTGGATTCAAACAAAAGCACAGTTCCAAGGAATATTTAGACCTTTAAAGACCTAAAAAATAAAATGATTAAGCATTCATCTCAAAAGAAACTATATGAACAACAGTAGCAGAGCATAAATATAGGAATTTATAAACATAAAATGAAATTAATAAATCAGGAAACAATAATTCTCACTAGCAATTATTATTGAGTGTCTACTGTATTTGAGATGTTATTTCAAGAGCTTAACTCATTTAGTACTGTATGATCTCCCTTCTATATATGAAGGAACTGAAGTAAATGAAAAGTAAGCAACTTTCTCACAATAACACAGCTCATGAGTAGCAGAAGCAATACTGGCATTCCATCACATTTGCTGTCACTGGGCTCATTATCAGGTCCAGAGCTCAATCATTCACTCCCTGTCCACTTCTCTTCCAGTGCTATGCTGAAAAGTTTCTTGATTTAAACCATATGATACTAATTTTCAGTGTATGACAATCATGTTCATTTGATGCTATCTCCCAAACCATAAATGGTCAGTTTTAATGTGTATACCTTCACATGGAGATAAAAATGGAAAACTGGGCCTAAAATAAGTTTAACAATTTACATATTTTACCTAATAAGCTGTAATCAAATTTTGCTACTTTCTTTCTAATTGACTTTTTAAAAAATTGCCATAAACTTTTGTATGTGGAATTCTAAGTTTCTTTTTCTCCATTTTAATTGACAAATAATATCTATATTTATGGGATAAATGTGAGATATTTCAATACATGCATACATTGTAAAATGTTTTCTGCATATAAGTGAGGTTATGCAATATTTGTCTCAGTCCCTGACTTATTTCTATTAGCATAACATCCTCTATATTCATTTCATGTTGTTGCAAAAGCAAGTATTTTGTTCTTTTTTATGGCTGAATATATTACATTGTATATATACCACATTTTTTAATCCATTTATCTGTCAATGAACATTTGGATTGTTTCCATAATTTTGCTATTATGGATATAATAATAGCTACAATGAATATGGGGAGTTCCATATACTGATTTCAGTTTCTTTGGGTATATAACCAGTAGTAGGATTGTTGGATCATATAGTAAATCTATTTTTAGTTTTGTTAGGATCCTACATACTGTTTTTCAAAATGTCTTTAGTAATTTAAATTTCTACCAGTATTGCACAAAGGTTCGCTTCACATACTCATGACTGCCTCTTAATTATATTTTTTCATTACTGTGTATGTTAAAATCTTCTTTCCACAAAGCTGCAAGCAAACAAAGGCACAGGAGTTGAGAAAATTGGTAAATTTTTTCTACTTATTTTTCAGATCTACTTAAAGTATTACAAAGGCTAACATCAGTGTCTCAAATGAAAGGCTTGTATTCTGTGTAGTTTTAATTTTTCCTTAATACTCCCTATCATCCAGTGACATAAATTGAGATTTGACCTTTCTTGGGTGGGAAGAGAATATATGCAAGCTCATCTGCCTGCATATGTGTAACAGACAAGTTTATTTAATCATTGAAAAGGAATGCTGTTTTCAAAATATGGTCACACATAGATAAATAAAGATGACCTGATGTTCCAGCCCCTGTCAGTTGTACTGTAAAGCCCCCATCATACCACATCCAAAGTAAAACTTCTGTTGGTGAAGATTTTGCCCATTGTTCCTCAGCTGCTCATGATTTCTGTTTATATTCCTATGCGTGTGTGTATTTTATATATATGTGTGTGTGTAGTGTGTGCAAATACATACCTATGTACATATAAGGATATATAAATTTTGCATAAATATGTGTGCACACACATACATATATACATTTGCTTGTTCAAATGTATATAAACAGATGTGCTGCTTTCATAAAGTATAATATATTCCAAGTTGAGTTCTGGATTCAATTTGTATTTTCAGTTTTAGTCTTCGTTTTTCCCTTGAGAAAGCTTTTAAATATTTCTAGGGCAAATTTTTGTGATAGTTTCAGCCGTCCCTGCAACCACTTTCATTATTTGTGTCATTATTACTGCTGCATAATCTGAACATAAAAAAACATGGTGCTGTAACAAATGACTTCTCAGTACTGACAGTTATAGCAGCAGCATTTCAATACTGATGAAAAATTTCCCAGCGAGATATCTGGCCAGGTTTACATAAACCAAACAGGAAATGGCTGCCACTATTCACATTAAATCCAAACTGTTTGGTGTAACTTTTGCTATGTTTTACATTACTATAAAATCTCTTTCATTCCCAGTTGATGAAATTTCATCTGTATTAAGGTTGAAAAAAGATAACTTTGAGATTTCATGTCTGGTGTTCTTGTTTGTCCTTTAATAATATCTTGTAAAGATAATTTTTGAAAAGTTGTTCTAGTTTTCGATTGTTTAAATTTTATGAACTTTGTAAATTTTTATGACAGGGAGAGGTTTGTTATGACTTTGTCCCAATGGACTGCTAATAGAAGTTAGCCTGTCTAGCCCATGTGCTAGATGCTGTCAGTATCAAACTGCCTTTGACTTTCACACCTCTCAGGGGACTAGTAATTGTTGTGTTCAAACAGCCTGTAATTGTGATCCCGCTGGCTTTCTCAGTACGCTTCTGGCTATTAGAATCATTAAACAACTCAGCACCTGTTAACAGCATTGTAAATATTCAACCCTGCTTGTGTGCAGGTTGAGTCCAATATACAGAAATCTTACAGAGCTCAGTCTCATAAATTAGAGCTTCTGACAAGTCAATTATTGTGAAACTGGGTTTCTCTGTGAAATAAATGAAATAGCATGCTGACAAAAAGGTAGGCTGTCTGTTTATAGCAAAGGGAAGATAATGACTTGATGATTCAAAGCACTGGGCATGAAACTACATTGTATCCTTTATCTGTAATTAAACAGTTGCATAAATTTTCTGTTTAAACAACCTGTAAATTATAAATTTTATACTGTGGAGAATACAACATGAAAACAGACCTTTTTACTTAGCTGTTGTATGCTTTTTCAAGTTGGTAAAGGGATTATTGAAATGAGTGATAAGTAATATTTTAAGATAAATGCTTATACTTGTTCAGGCTAGAAATTGTATAATAGCTGAAAAGTTCATTCAACAAAAGTAAAGGCCATATTGTGCTGTAAATACAGATCATATAAATCTAAACTCCGTTCTTTACTCACACAAAAGTGTCCAAGTATATGAACTCTAAAGTGTCGAATATATGAACTCTCAAAAATCTGTGTGTATCCTAAAAAATAATTTAATTTAAATTTAGTTTTATTATTTTACTATGATTGCAAATTATATAGCTAATTAAGATGTAACATTTTAATTTTAAAGGATTTAAAAATTTTAAGTGACCTTAGCCTTCATTTCAAATGCTAGTAAAGAATATTTGGAAAAGATCAGTGAAGTTCAGTTACCTGAATTGAATTTTGCACCACTTCTTGTAAATTCATTAGGATTTTGGTGAGCAAATTTGGGAATAAAATTTTTAAATGAATATCAATGATTTTTATGCTTTTCTATTCAAATAACTATTAAATTTTAATAAGCTAGATTATTAGTAATATTTTAATAAGATCATCAGATAGTATGTTATAGAGAGACATAATTTTAGTTGGCTTTTCTTTGTTTTGCCAAATTATGTTTAAATGTTTACACTAACTGTATTATCTAGGTGAAAGCTATTATTGATCATTAAAAAAAAAAAAAAAAAACAGAAAAAAGTCTCCTAATAGACTTAAACAAACTTTAGAATATTAACCCATCCAAATGCATTTTGTAAGTACAATGAATAAAATAGCATTAAATAAAACATAGTGAATTAAATAAATATTAAAAAGAACTATAATTTTTAAGGAAACTTTTTATTATTAATGGGTTTAACTATTATTAGTAAGCATACCAAGTTTATTTATTCAAGCATAAAATGGCAAAGTTGGCATTCCAGTTATATCTGTGGTAGATTACAATAATCAGCATCATCCATGAGTTTTTTTTTTCAAATAACTTAATAAATTTATAAACAAAATGAAATTTTATTTTTTGATAATATTATTTTTTATAATTTTAACTGCATGAAGAATTAGATTCTTATGCTACAAGTGGTACTACTTATACATTATCTTGGGCAAATTTTTACTGGTGTTTTCAATTTAGAATACCTTTATCAACTATGTATTAGTCTAGACAGCTACAAATAGTATTGGAAAATTTATAGGCTCAATGAGCCAAAAGAATGTGATGTATGAAGTCAACACTTATATTGCAGAAAGTTTGACTATAAAGTTCACTTCCTGGGGGAAAAAAAAGAAAGGGAAAAAATATCTTTGATAATTTAGAATGACTTTGAGAATCTGTCTTTTATGAGGCTATAAAGATCCAAAATTTTTATTTTTACCTCTGAAGCAGAAAACTAAATACTTCAGCTTAGTGATTTTCCAGGGCAAAGGAAATATTTTCTACCTTTTTTCTAATGCTGGTGTTTGTGTTTCACTTTGATATATGCCTAGTTGGGCATAATTTAAACATTTTGTTTAGATTAATGATAGCACTGGGTTTAGTACTTCATTGATAAACACTGCTTTATTTCAGTTCATGACAAGAGGATTTGTTTAGGAAAAGCAATAATTTTTCCACAGACTAAAAGTAACTACTCCTTTTTTCTGAAAAGTTGTTTTACCAAGTAAATTCTATTATCTTATTTATCCTTATTCAGTGAAGATTCTTGAATTTAGAATACTTAGCATTTGAACTAACTTCTCTTTGTAATGGAAATATATCCTGACATGATTTCAGACCTACTTCAATGTAATTTTCATCCTGTACTGTCTTTAAGTCTGTTTCTTTGGAGAAAGGAAAACAAAATCCCCAAAATAGTCATCTGTTCAGATTTTCCATACCTCAGGTATGTTTTCTTTTCGGCTTCTACCATGTGAGATTGCTTAGCACCCTTTTTCACTTTCTGGTCCTATACAGATGTAAAACTGCCGTCATAGATTTTAATGATTGGAACCTGATCTAAGGTTCTAAGACCACTTTCTGCTTCTACTCCTCTATTTACATGAGGACAGGGGAGGTAGGGTATATAAATTCTCCATGCCTACTAGGGTACAGGGTTCATCCAGTAAGAATTAGAAAACTGCCATGACAATGGGTCCTTCACCTTTTGGATCATTTCCCAGGCCCAGATTCTTAGTGATTTGTCAAGAACCTCTCTCTCTGAGTTGTAGGGAAGAGTATTCAGATGAATTGTATGTCCTTAGGATTTTTATTTAGAAAATATATAGAGCTGTGTATATGTATTTTCTATATGTTACAACTTAAAAAGTTTTATTTTTAGCTTGATGATGTCCCTTCTAGTTGTTAGGATTACAGTTGTTCCTTATGCACTAGGGGAACAGCAACTGACTGCATTACCTAGAAGAACTATCACCCATATCACTATTTTATTTTGTAAAATTATTGAGATTAGTTCATATAGTAAAAGGGAACAAGATTTATATATTTACATATATAAATACATTTACATATATTTCGTGTTTCCAGCTTTCTAAATTCAGGGCATAATTTTGGTGTACAAGATTAAACTGACACAATACTAGTTATAACATGGGAAACAATTTCTCTTTAAATGTGATGCAGGATTTTATCTCCTCATCTTATATATTTTTAATGTATTACCATTTTCATCATTGTCAACAAAGCTTCACATGAGACCTTTGATTTGTAAATCAGGAATGATAATTACAGTTGCTTTATTTCTCTGATTTACTGTAAATGTAATTTGTGTTTTTGAAATTCTGAAGAGATCATAAAACTAAGGTGATATTTTTGGTAGAAAATACCTTGATACTAATAATAACCTTGCTTGTTTTCTAGCTACTACAATTTAGGTGATGTGAGCCATGATTCTGTAAACAAGTTTCTGTCCCATCTTATTGAAAAGTCCCTGGTTGAGTTGGAACTTTCCTACTGTATTGAAATTGGAGAGGTACGACTTGGTTATATATATATATTATATATTCTAATTGCCTAGCTTTTCAAAAATAGGGCTTTTGGTTCTAGTACTGCCAAATTTGTACCAAAACTTTTGCATTAGCAGCCTGCAGTATGAATTATTAGTTTTATGAAGATATGTAATTCCATTGTACTTTTTACTAATGTCATTTTTATCCTTTGGAACAGGATAATCGGAGCATTGAGCCTCTCACATACGGCCGAATTGCCTCCTATTACTATTTGAAGCACCAAACCGTTAAAATGTTCAAGGACCGTTTGAAACCTGAATGCACTATTGAAGAATTGCTGTCAATTCTGAGTGTGAGTTTCATGATATTATTGTATTGTTTCTGTATATTTCAGACTTTCTCTTTTAATTTGTCCTGAGTTTTTGCCATCCAGTTCTTGAAATTTGACAGAAAATGTTCATGAAGTCCTTCCTTCTGTCAAACAAGGCTACTACAAAGTTTCCTGTTTAGACCAATTTCCCCATAAATAAAGGTGATTCCATAATTAATTTATTATTCAAACTTGGATCCTTCTATCAGTGGAAGGGCATTATTAATATTTAAGCCAGAATTAAAGGTAGAAGCTGGACTTTCCTGAGCAAGCCTTTGACATTGTAGCCTCTTTGAATTCAAAACTTTTCCTATTGCTTCTTTTGGATAGTTGCTGTTGAATACTTAACTATGATGTTATTGAAGTTTCTTTACTTAAAGATCTGCATGATTTAAGTCTTCTTAGAATTAATGCCAAGAGAGCTGTTTAAACCCTACTCCCAACCCCACCAAGTCCCTTTCCAAAAAGAAAAAAGAAGTTTCATATGGTAAAAACTATCCTATGACCATTTTTACATTTTTGCTTAGAAGCTAAACAATAGATTTAATATGGAAGTTAACGTTTTTATTACAACTCTTCTCCACCTACCTTTCTACATAGCATACACTTTATTTATCTATTTATTATTTTTTACTTTGTTGAACTGAAGTGTGTTAATTTGCCATTAAACTTTGTTGACATATTAGTCAAAGGGTGTGTGTGTGTATGTGTGTGTGTGTGTTTTCATTATTTTATTCTTCAGGTGTACTGGTGCTTTTTAAAAAAAAAAGTTAACCCCATTCGAGTATAACATTTTTAAGGTGTTTCTCATCTAAATTCACTGATTCTTTCGTAGTTTGCTTATTAAATTTTTTTCCTTTCTCTCCTATTGCTTTGTTATTCATAATGAACGTTGATATCCCACTCACAGATTTTTAATTTCTCAATTCTTTCCCTCTAAGAAACTTCTGTATAAATTTTATGCCTACCATAAGGCCTGGAACATTATAATGAATCAGAACATGTTTATTAATGAATCAGTTGATGGATGGAAAGATGGATGAATTGATGCTGTATAAATTAGATTTTTGCTGTGTGTAGAAAAGAATATGATTTTAAATATATGATGCAGCTATCAAAAACATTGGTCTTTGAGAAATTAAAAGTTTATTTCTGAGAGAAGAGTATTTAAAAATGTGGTGAATTTTTTTAGATTCCCTAAGGATGAGATTGTGTTGTCTCCTAGACAAAGATTCATAAAAATCGGATTTCTCTGGTGAGAAGACTATTAGAAAACTGCCATGACAATGGATTTAGAATGTTGTTAATGATTTTGGGTGTACATTTTAATTTACTCTCTCAGATTTGAGAATATAATTTTTATTTCATATTGTCTTAGTCCATTTTGTATTGCTATAACAAATACCCAAGTCAACCCATTTTGGTCATAATGGCCATTTTGTCTCATGATTTTGGGACTAAAATTTCCATACTAACATGGCAAATGCAGCACATATTTGAAGTATATGCAAGACCTGTGAGGGATATATGTAGAAGAGACCAAGCACATGGAATGACCACACATTATAGACACCTTTTCTTAAAATAACTTACCAGGTCCTGTGAAAACTATCCCACTTCTATAATACAGGCATTAATCCCCACCAAGACTGGTACTCCATGATCTCCTCCCATCAGGTCCCACTTCTTAAGGTCTCAACACATTTTATACTATTACATTATTTTAAAATATGTCACAGATTAATTTAACCAGTTGCTACCCTATTGTGCTAAAGAAGAAACAGAAGTGATTCCTTCACTCTATTTTTTTAAGATTTTTTTTAAATTCTTATTTTTAGTTGTTTATGGACCTTTTTTTTTATTTATTGATATGTGGTGCTGAGAATCGAACCCAGTGCCTCAAGCATGCTAGGCAAGTGCTCTGCCGCTGAGCCACAACCCAGCCCCTTCACTCTATTTTTGATGCACCTTATTTAACTTCTTTCTATTCTGCCTCTTTACTACCCTAACTAGTCTCTACTGAATCCTCTTCTACTTGTTCTATTTCAAGATTGATTAGTTTCCTAAAATGAGTAAAAACTGATGGTATTTTTCTGTGTCTGGCTTGTATGACTTAATATAATGACCTCCAGTTCTATCCATGTTGCTACAAATAGCAGGATTTCATTCTTTTTATGGTGGAATAGCATTCCATGGTATACAATTCCATTGTATGCCATTGTGTACCACATTTTCTTTATCCATTTATCCACTGAAGGGTATCTGGGTTGATTTCGTATTTTGGCTATTGTGAACAGTACTACAGAAAACATGAGAGTGGACAAATCTTCTTGGTATAATGATTTCATCATCTTTAGGTATACACATGGTAGTAGAATTGCTGGATCATTTGGTAATTCTGTTTTAAGTTTTTTGAGGACTATGCTTACTGTTTTTTCAATAATGGCTATGCTAATTTATATTATAACCAACAATGTGTAAGAGTTTCCCTTTTCTGCATTCTTTTCAGCATTTATTTTTTGTCTTTTCTATATTAAACACACAACTTCTTTTTAAGTAGAGATATAATTATTTTAACTTTATAATATTTATCAGATGGTACCTTTTCTTTCAAAAATTAAAGAAAGGATTTAACCAGGTCACCTTATCATATACTTTCTTTCAGTGTTTTGGGCACTGCAAGCTTCTATTTTTAAGCATTCCATAGCAGAAAGTACATAGACAGGTTTGGTAAAAATTCCATATAGATCCATTCATACCTCATCATATACATTTTTTTTCTCTTATAAAACCTCTTTTGAGGCTTCTGTTTTCACTTTTCTTTCCTTGAAGTTAAACTCTTTCTGTCGTGCATTTTTTGATACTATGTTTTTTTCCTCTATCAGTAGGATGGGTGGAATCAATCTAGTAGTTTCCAGAGTGGTATTATATTAATATCATGCTATTGACCAGTCAGAGGTGACTGCAACAGGTAGAGTCTGAGTTTACAGATAAAACTGAATTCTTCCAGATATAAGGATTTAATAATCAAGTTCTTAGCAAAAAGCGATTTTTCTAAAGAAATTACTTAAGAGTATGTGGAAGCCGATTTATTCTTTATATGTTATTTCCATTTTTTCATATTAAATATCTTGGCCACCCTCTTACCCACAAACAGTATAATGATTCATAAAAAAATATTATTTCATATCTTCACTGTGTAAGTCACTTTCTGAGGTTAGGGTATAGAACAGTTAATATTATTGACAAGCTTCCTATATAAATGTGTGTTTGTATGTGTGTGTGTTTCTATATACTAATACATAGAAAAACTGTGAGTCATGGTGATAAACCATGGAAGGCACTTGTGTATTGCTGATGACTCCAGTCATCAGCTCACTGTGATGCTCTAAGAATTGCAGTATAATGTTGCTCATAATTTAAAAAGAATATCTAAAAACAAAGCAAGGTGTAGTATTCTGTCCTTCATGTTAATCTTCTCTTTACAGAGTAGATTTACTATATATATTTCTGTTAGTCTCACATTAAATAGACCTCAAGAAGAAAATCTGAATGGCCCAAAGTGAGCTACTCGAATGATAGAAGACGTGTGAGTAGAGAGCCCTTTTAGTCTGAACAACAAAGGCTTTGAGGCAGTATAACCAAAATTAAAATAATGAGTCATTTGAATAGAGGCCTCTTTGTGTCTTGGACACAAATAACAAGAAGTGTGACTTTTCACAGTTGACGGGTGGTTCTATCTGATTCTCAGAGAACTTAATATTTCAATTGACGAATATAGGCCAAAAATGTATTTTAAAAGGGTTGGAATAAATTTATTGAAACCTGCTAAAGAACCAAAAAGGAAATTGTGTTAGCCCCATTGTTATGAGATTCATTTCTCTGAAGACCAAAGAAGGCATAGATCCATATTGGACCTTCTTGGTCTTTGCATGGTTTATTCTCTTGGCCCTCTAGGTACTTAGGAATCTTTTTTATTCTCCAGAATATTATGAACTTTTTTTTCTTTTTGGCAAGTTGTACTTTCGGGTACTAATTCTGGCTGATTGTTACTTTATTATATGAAAATCTTTATTCCAGCCAACATTGAAAATGAATAGACTTCGGGTAATACATTTTTTTCTCTTGTAAAACCTCTTTTGAGGCTTCTGTTTTCACTTTTCTTTCCTTGAAGTTAAACTCTTTCTGTCTTGCATTTTTTGATACCATTATCTTTAAGTGATAGTAAAATATTCTATTCTAGGTATAAGGCCAAAGATCATACTGGGACTATTTCCTTTCTTTCTCTTTATTAATTGCATTCTACAGTTGTAACCCACTTAGTTAAATCTTGTCTTTCCAAAACATCCATTAAAAACTAATTTTTATTGAGCACCTGTCATGTTCCAGAAATTTTATATACATTATTTATAAGCATCAAACAACCCTTCATGGTAAGTGTTAACATACAGATATTGAGGTTGAATTATAATAAAATGAAGGTATTTTGTGTCATATAGAAAGATACATGTTAGAATTTTTTCTCCTATGCCTACCCTTCTTTTTCTCCTTGATATATCTTATCTGTGACTCAATTCTAAGCATATATGCTTTTAAAAAATAAAGAATGGAAGTTGCTTTTAAAATTTATACCTAGAATCATAGGTATTAAAAGCAGATATTAATTACCTGAAAAAATAATTATTTCAGCATTCTTTATTGGAGACATATATTTTACATTTTAAACGATCTGATGCTATTTTGAAAAGGCTAGGTATTCTGAAAGAACCCTTGCCAAGTTTTTTTCAACACCATGCATTAATAAGCTTCATAATGAAGGCAGCTGCTTCACACCTCTATTGTTAACCAGTGACATTACATCTGTCTGGCTCCATTGATGCCCTCCTCCTACTTATTGAAGCATTTAGCAGTTTTGGCAACAGGGATTATATGGCTTGGAGTTAGTAGTCTAATTAGATATAAGTGAAAATCCTGAGGGAAAA